TCACTCCTTCCTTCCTTCGCCGCCCTCGCCCAGCATCCTGCCCCACTCAGTGGTAGGAGACTTGAAAAGAAAGGGATTTCCAATTTTTCTGTTCAAGGTCATCCCTCCTTTGTTTCCTCCTGTCCCAGGCTTTGGAATGCCCACGAGTGCGTTTCCGTTTTCCCCATCTCTCGCTGTCCGTTCTCCTTGATCTCTCTTTCCTGATCTTGGTTTTCTTGCGCCTACCGTTCCACATCCACCTCCTTTCTCTCCTCTCTTCTCCCCGCTGCGTCATTTTCCCTCCTCCCTCTTCCTCGTCTGTCCTTCAGTCGTTCGTTTCTCCGCCTCCCTCCTGCCTTTCCGTCTCCCCCACCCCTCGGTGTTCGTTCTCCTGAATATGTCTTTTGCTTTTGGTTCTTCTGCGTCTCCCGTTCCACGTCCTCGCCCTCCCACTTGCCCCCCCCGCTTCCTCTTGTCTCAGGCTTCGGCGTGCGTGCCCAGAGTGTGATTCCGTTTTCCCTATCCTTCGCTGTCTGTTCTCCTTGTTCTCTCTCCCATTCTTGGTTCTCCTGCGTCTCCCGTTTCACACTCTTTCCCTTCCTCTCCGCCTGCTTCGTCCCCGCTGCGTCATTTTCCCTCCCTCCCCCTCGTCCCTCCTTCACGCCTTCCTCTCTCCGCTTCCCTCATGCTGTTTCGGCTTCCCAATGCTGCAAGACGGCCCAAGAGGTTCCCAAGACAGCACCAAGACAGCCCAAGGGGTCCCCACGACGGCCCACATACGACGCAAGAGAGCGCCAAGACGGCCCCAGATTCCGCCACGACGGCCCACGAGGCACTCAAGACGGCCCCAAGACAGGGGCAATAGCGGGGATCCAAGCCGACCTTTCGAGCCCAGGTGCCAAGAGCTCCAGGGAGGCCCCCGAAGCGCCCCCAAAGAGTCCCGAGAGGCCACCAGGAGACCCCCAATCGGAGCCTTTCAGCGCCTCCTGAAGCATCCACCAGGAAGTGCGCTCCCATATGGTTACCCTTGCGGGGTAATGTCCATCCTCGTCCGATCTTGTGAGGTTGGTTTGGACTGCGCTAGCACCTAAGCGCGCGCGAAGCGCGCGTGTTTCCAGTCTGTCTGTCTGTATGCATGCATGCATGTATGTATGTACGTATGCATGTATGCATGCATGCATGCATGCATACATGCATGTATGTATGTATGTATGCATGTATGTATGTATGTTTGTATATATATATATAGGTATGTATGTGTGTATGTATGTATGTATGTATGCATGTATGTATGTATGTACGTACGTACGTACGTACGTATGTATGTATGTATGTATGTATGTATGTATGTATGTATGTATATATGTGTGTATGTTTGTATGTATGTATGTATGCATGCATGTATGTATGTATGCATGTATGCATGTATGTGTGTATGTGTGTATGCATGCATGCATGCATGCATGTATATATGTTTGTATGTATGTATGTTGTATGTATGCATGCATGCATGCATGCATGCATGCATGCATGCATGCATGCATGCATGTATGTATGTATGTATGTATGTATGTATGTATGTATGTATGTATGTATGTATGTATGTATGTATGTATGTATGTATGTATGTATGTATGTATGTATGTATGTATGTATGTATGTATGTATGTATGTATGTATGTATGTATGTATGTATGTATGTATGTATGTACCTATATGATACCAGAAAGCCCCCTAAGCATAATCTTTTCAGTCTATAGGGCTATGGTACTTTATGGCCATAGGGCTATAGGGCTAGAAAGCTATGTGGCCGATGGCTATAAGGCTATCGGGCTATAGGGCTATAGGGCTATAGGGCAGGTCTGTAGGGCTATAGGGCTATAAGGCTACGGGCTACAGGGTTACAGGGTTACAGGGCTACAGGGCTATAGGGCTATAGTGCTCTTGGGCTACAGGGCTATATGGCTATTCGGGCTAGGGGGCTATAGGGCTATAGGGCCATAGTGCTATAGGACTATAGGGCTATATGGCTATAGGCTATAGGGCTATAAGGCTATAAGGCTATAGGGCTGCCGGGCACCCGGGCACCTGGGCACCTGGGCACCCGGGCACCTGGGCACCCGGGCACCTGGGCACCCGGGCACCCCCGTGCACCCGGGCACCCCCGGCACCCGGGCACCTGGGCACCCGGGCACCCGGGCCGGCCACCGAAATCGGCGACGAAGTTCACCTAATCATATGAATCCGCTAGGACCCCTACAGAGGCAAGCTCTGATTGGGGAATATGTATGTAGGTAGGTACGTAGGTAGGTAGGTAGGTAGGTAGGTCGGTAGGTAGGTAGGTAGGTAGGTGGGTATGTACGTATGTGTGTAAGTACGTACGTATGTATGTGTGTGTGCATGTATGTATGTATGCATGCATGCATGTATGTATATATACATATAGGTATGCATGTATGTATATGCGTATGTATGCATGCATGTGTGCATGTATGTAGGTATGCACGTATGTATGTGTATATGTATGTATGAATGCATGTATGTATGTATGCATGTATGTATGTATGTATGTATGTATGTATGTATGTATGTATGTATGTATGTATACATGCATGTATGTATGTGTAGATGTCTGTCTGTCTGTCTGTCTGTCTGTCTGTCTGTCTGTCTGTCTGTCTGTCTGTCTGTCTGTACGTATGTATGTATGTATGTACGTATGTTCATATGTATGTATATATATATATATATATATAAAGGAAAAAACTGGGGACGAGTGTTTGCGTATTTTTGACCGTTTGGGGGGTATGTTTTGTTTTGTCTTGATTTTTCGTTTAAAATTCCCGTGTAGGGAAACATGCCCGACCTAACGCTAGCACCCTCTTCCTTGGCCCCCGCACCCTTCGGCGCACTCGCATCCTGCTCGTCCCGTGTCTTTGCGATCGTGGTTCGCCTGCGCCTCCTCATTGAACACGTCATGGCGCCAGCATGGCAGAGCGGATTTCGCTCGGAAAACAATAGGATGGGCCCGGAGTGTCCTGGAGAATTGCGTTCCAGATTTCGAGGTGAATTTCGTGCGGATTTTTCTAGCCAGGAATGAAGACTGAAACAAATCCACGCAAGATTCACGTCGTTTTTCGCTCGCCGCGTCGGGCAAACATCCACGCAGAAATCCACGCAGAAATCCGCTGCAGCACGTCTGCAAGACAGGGGCAATGAAGTAGGGTCGGCGTTGCAAAGGTAACGTGCGATGGGGCGCAGCCGGCCCGCTCCTTACGCGCTGTCCCCCACCTCGGGGATAATCCAAATCCCTTATGAGTCGACCCCCCTGAAAAACCGGACCCCCCTCCAAATGCGACCTCATATTCTGGACCCCCCTCTTCGACGGAGGGCCTTCATGAACTGGACCACATAAGCTCCAGTCCAAAGACAGCGAACCTGATAAACCGGACCCCCCCAGTTACAAAAAACGGCGCTTCAAAAAGCCAGACCCGGGGGACGATTAATAAGGGATTTTGAGTGAGTAACGTTCACCGAGGGAGCCCTCGCAGGGGGGATAAGTAGCGTGCACCGACGGGACCCTCGCAGGGGGGCAGCGTGCGCAGAAGGGGCCCTCTTCTGGCGGGATCGCCTCACCTCAGGGATACCGTGCCTTTCGGAGATCGATGTTGCACGCAGTCTTCAAGTCGGGCCTGTCCCTCTACAGGGGGAAATATTAAAAAATAGTAAAGAAATTGTCTGGGGACGATGTTCTTAGCATTTTTGAACCATGTTTGAGCTATGTTTGAAGTATTTTGAATTTTTCTTCCAAAACCCCCCTGTAGGGGGACATGCCCGACCTCAGGCTATCATTACGATGCCAACCGTAAGCTGTTGTTTGCGTCCGCCGTGCTAAGAGCGGAGCGGCGCTCTCGGGGCCACTGGTCGCGCTGTGTGATCTGAAAGGGAACCAAGGTGGGGAAGCACCCGTTGCTCGGGGGTGGACAGAACCCCCAACAGTGACACGTCGATTAGTGAATTGTCCGTTTTCGGTCCTCGAGAGGGCGCCGTGGCCGTTATTTTCCAGGCTTGCGCCCGCCAGGTTTGGGCCTCAGGTCGTTTTCACTAAACCACGTTTTACTAAAGGGGGGTCTGTCCATCCCCGAATTGCGCGGATGCCCCGCCCTCTCTCCGATGGGGCAGGGCGGTCAGGCCAGCCCGTGCAGCGAGGGCTTCCGCGCCGCTCCAGCCCCCCCCCTTTCCTTGGCGTGACGAGGGCTTGTCATCGCTCGGACGTGTGCATTTTTCCTTCGGCGAGGGCAGTCGAGGAGCATCCTTGATCATTTGGCGAAAAAGCCACCCACGAAACCGAGAAAAGCACAGGGAATGGACGTCCAAGCGATGGCGAGAGAGTGGGCTAAGGGGAGAGCCTTTTCCCGTGGAGGAGGGAGGCTTCGGCAGCAAATCATGAGAGCCGTGTGTACCTTCGGAATTCCGTCTTTAGAGTGCGCTGGCGTCGCTTCGCGTCCGGGAACCGGTGAGACAGCGCCGGTTCAGCATCGATGAGCGTCGGCTAGCGTCGATTAGCGTCGGCACGCAAGAATCCACAAGATGGCATGGGAGCCTCCTAGGAGCTGCCGCAGGAGAAGGCAGTGAGCATCCTCACCGAAGAAGTGGAAGTTGCATAGACATAAACCTCCCGAAGTGCGCCGGGCGCCCCCCCTTGCGGCGCCTCGGCGGCGCCCCTGGGCGCGCTCCGTGCGCCAGGGAGGGGGGCGGGGGGCAGCGCCGATCCGAGGAGTCCGCGCGGTCCGCGCGGAGTTCGGAAAGCTTACGTTCGGGAGGGAGAAAAACACACAGACACAAGTAATGGTCGATCCCCCAGGACATATGGGAAAATATGGGAAGCGGGGGGGGGGGAAGACAAAATCCCAGAAAATATAGGAAACTATGGGGACTCCTGTTATTTATAATTATAAATTTTTAATTTGTGTGTCCCAGGGCTCCTTCATGCGTTTCTGAATGTTCTGCTTCATCTCACGGAGGGCCTCTTCTGGCTCAAGCCCATCGCGCCGTGCCGCGTTGCTTGCTGCGCCGCGTGCCTCGATACTCCAGATTTCGTAATAAAAGGGAGGGGGTCTGGACCCTCCAAGACAAGCCATTTCAGACCTCCCCCGTGGGAGAACCCTCCAAAACATCGTCCCCAGACCCCCCAGCTCTCCAAGATAGCCTGGAAGAGACCCCCCCCGAAATGAGACCCCCCTCCCTTTATTACGAACTCTGGAGTACCGTTCACAATGCTCGTCGCCGTGGTTCCGCTGCTCATCCTCCTGGGTCGGGGGGCGGCCGCCGGCGAGCCCCTGGGGCGCGAGGCGTGCGAGGCCACGGGCGAGAGCGAGCACGCCGCGCTGGTGCAGGTGAAGAGGCCCGAGGCTGGGCCCGAGAGGGCGGCGGCTGCTCAGACGGCGGCTCACGCCGCGCCGACGTCGCTGCTCGCCAGGCGCGAGGTGTGCCCAGGGCGAGGGTGCGCCGAAGAATGCGAGGAGGCGCCGTGGGACAAAAGGGGCAGGAAGGCATACATTGGTCGTTTCCGGTGCATGAACAACGAGTGCCAGTGCTTGGTGGATCTGTGGCCGTGCCGGCCCACATTTATCCCGCCTCCTTCAGAATGCACGTGTTCATGACCAGCCCTCTGACCGAGGGCGGGCCTCCAAAGTGAGCCGCTCCTCCTTCCGCATGAAGACCTGGTCAGCTCCCCGCCAGGCGTTTTTCCGCAATCGGGGAAGCGTGCGAGACCCTCTGAGACTGGACTGGACTGGAAAAGGCCGCGCCTAGACGGCGCAAAAAAAAGAGGGGGGGAGAGCATTTTCAGGGCCCCGTAAACGGAGACGTTCTGCTAAATCAGGGCCCGAGAGAATAGCAGCCGCGGGTCGAAGCATCCGTTCCCCATTCTTCCTCTGCTCTCGGGGTGGCATTTTCAGGGTCATGGCTTGGCAATAGCCTGGCCTAGTATGTATATATGTGTATATATATATATATATATGCACGTACGTATGTATGTATGCATGTGTGTATGCATGCATGTATGTACGTATGTATGACCGAGTTCATGTATGCGTGCATGCATGCATGCATGCATGCGTACATGTATGTATGCGTGTAAGTATGTATGTATGTATGTATGTATGTATGTATGTATGTATGTATGGATGTACGTATGTATGTATGCATTTATGTATGTATGTATGTATGTATGTATGTATGTATGTATGTATGTAAGGATGTATGTATGTATGTATATATGTATGTATGTATGTATGTACGTATGTATGTATGTATGTATGTATATATGTATGTATGTATGTATGTATGTATGTATGTATGTAGGTATGCATGTATACATTCATGTATGCATGCATGTATGCATGCATGTATGCATGTATGCATGTATGCGTGTATCCATGTATGCATGTGTGCATGTATGCATGTATGACTGTATGAACGTATGAATATATGCATGCATCCATGCATGCACACTTGTTTGTTTGGTTGTTTGTTTGTTGTTTGTTTGTTTGTTTGTTTGTTTGTTTGTACATCTATGTTTAGATATGTATACACACACGCATTGCCAGATCTGAGGCAGGGTCTGGCAGACGTGATTCGAGTCGTCGCCAGAATGAAACAGAGGAGGGACGACCGAACACCAACATCGACGAGACGACCTCTTGTCGGAGCACTACGGTCATGAACGTGCTAAGCGTGTCGCGCCGCTGGTTCTGGCCGGCCACGCTTCGGCGCTACGCTAAGGGAGTCCCAGTTTCCAAGTGTCAGCGCTCTGAACGTTTCCCAGCCTCCCGTTTCACGAAGCAGAGCGACACGCCGTCAGCTTGCAAGGCGTAGCGTGTCGAAGGGGCTGCCGCCGCGACACACTACGTAATCAAAAGTTCCTTGCCGGACGCGGCGGGCATCAACCGAATTCGTCAGGCAAACCATTCGATCCGATCGATCCATCTTGACATTTGCCCGATCCGATTTGATTTTGAAGTTCTCAGGATCCGATGCGGCCCGATGCTTGCAAGGCGCAGCGCGGCCGATCTAATTAGATTTCGACCCGCACCGATGCATCCCGATCCAACGGACGCTCCGACCCAGGGGTCGCAGGAAATTCCACTGCTTTCAGTAGATTTGCATCATGGCGGCTTGGCGAGTCTCGGCCACTTTTCAACATGCGCTGGGACTGGTAGCAGTGGTGGTGGGTGCTGCTTTGCCCCGAGAGCTGACGGGCGGCCGCACTGGCCGAGTTGCCCTGCCCTGGGGAACGACCATTACCGCCGCAGAGGGGATGCGCGTTGCTTGGCCGCGCGGGAGCGGAGCCTGCGAATTTCTGATCTCCGCGCGGCTGCTCAAGGGTCGTGTGGCCCAGGCCGCGCGGGGGCCCGGAGGCGGCATGCCCTTCAGGTCTCCGGACTGCCGAGGGGCTCTCCGCGCGCTCCAGGGAGGTCCCCTGGGCGGGGGGCATCGCTCCGAGCGGCACGGCGGATTGGACACACAGATGGGGGGGGGGCAGAGAGACCTGACCAGACGAAGAGGGAGGGGGTTCCCAGGGTTGGTCAGGGATGTTCCCCTCAAGGAGGCGTCCCAACCGAGCCTAGATCGCCCCCCCTCCCTGGTCTTGTTAGGCTTCCCTCGTCTTTAGACTAAACAGAAACAGCGAGCCGTCCGTGGGCGTCTCGGAGATGCACTGGCACCGCCTTGGAGATGAAGACAACGACGTCGGCTCCCAAGGCTTTGACCACTTCTCCAGTGCTGGATGTTCGTCCAGAGCAGTTTTTGACAGTCCCAGGGCTGCGCCCTCTGCCGTGCGGTGGCGTCCGTATGGGGGTCCTGGGACAACCTAGTCTGGCCAGCAATTTGAGGTCCCCAGCGAGGTGTTGTTTCGGGGCGTCCTGTACCCTAGGAGACAGTAACATGGAGACAGGACTGGAGAGACAAAACATAAGGCAATACGTAGTGCAAATAACACAAGGCAGCAGTCTAGTAGAAGACTTTCCAGCCTGGCGCCCCAGGGGGGCCTGGTGACTCATTTCCTTCGGACATGATGTTTGAAAATGGCGTGTATGGGGAACGTCCGACGCCAGTATTGTCGACGGTCGAGTCGATTTGATTACGCGCCCTGGAATCCCCACGCAGTATCGATCGACTTGGCAACGCAGCCTTTGGGCCTTTGGGGTGGCTCCACTTCCCCCTTCACATGGAGAGTCGATAGTACATGTGATTATAAATCGAATTGTGCCCCCAGTCCCCACGTAAGGAGTTGACGACTCTTCATCAATCGACTTGCGGGGATCAAGCCAGATACATCGAGGCATGTTGCCGTAAACCGATGTAGATCCAGACAAGTCGAGGTAGACTCAGAGGTATCCAGAGAAATTTGGAGAAGTCGTGGAATTTCCAGCGCAAGTCGAGGGACAACAGAAGTCGTTCAGCCGTTTACGGCTGGGGTGATCATGCCGACAGCCACGGGTAACAACATCACGTGCCTCCTCCGCGAACGTTGGCCTCCCAGCCCAGGAGCCTCCCGCTCCGCGAGACCGTGCCCGGCAATCAGGGGTCGGGCGTCGTTCCCAGATCGGTCTCGACCTTGCGCGCGCGAGCTCCCCCTTCAGAGAGGCGGATGGCGAAGCGATCGACCGATGCGGTTTCGTGAGTCCGGTCGAATGCACGCTCGTGCATCTCATCATCGTCTGACCTAGCCCCATCCCCAGTGGGTCCTCTAGCGCCACCGGCCTGCCCCCCCCCCCCCTCAGGTGGGGATGGATGCCGCGAGACCCGACGGAGACGGCGCTGCCCCGCGAGGGCGGCGGCGCCGCGCTGGCTGCTGAGGTCTGCGCGCCCCTATTGGCGGAGGAGGAGGAGGAGGAGGAGGAGGAGGAGGAGGAGGAGGAGGAGGAGGAGGAGGAGGACAACTGTGAACCAAATACGCATCAACGATGTTGCAGTCAGCCCTCCCTCCACGCTCCCTCTCCATAGGGCCCTGCCATAATTCCTTTTCATTGCGGGTAGCGCTCCATTGGAAGACAACCATTTGAGAATCTTCAATATTGCCAAAACAGCGTTCCTGGGACTTCGACGCCGCGAATCCACGTGGATTTTTTAATTCCGTCCATCCTCAATCGTTCCAAAATGCAGCTCCTGGGACTCGAGCCCAGCGAGTGCACGTGGCTGTTGCGTCCTGACAGTCCCAAACCGTCTCAAAACACCATCCCTTGGACGTCAACCATACGAACCCGTGCAGCTGCTGTGCACGTGTAAGACGAATGTGCGCAGCGCTGAATCGATAACCGCTTTTTTGAAAAGGAGCCGCCTTCACCTGTGAAACAACTGCAATCTTTCAAGACGAATGTGCGCGCTGCGAAAGCGACCTGGAATAGGGTGTTTGATACAGCGTTTGGATCTACTGCCCCTAAAATCTGCGCGGGCTTCCCTGTCCTGTTGCCCTTGCTCTTGCTTTGCCCGTTTTTCCTTCTCCCACGTATGTGGCTGGTGGCTTTTCTGGGTCCAGCTGAGGTTCGGCTTCAGGTGGCCCAGAGTCCTGTGCCCCAGAAGGTGCCGGGAAAACTCGCACGGCCGGTTGCCCACAGGGTTCCGAAAACCTCTCGCATTGTTCTCATCACGAAACGGCGCTTCCTTTCGCAGGTCGATGGGCCTTTTCTTCATTGCAGTCAGTACTTCCGACGCTGAGTTTTTTGTTGTTGGGTGTGAGGGGGTGGAGGAGGTGCTGGAGGAATGGGAGGTGATGGATGGCGAGAAGGAGGAAAGAGGAGGAGCCCGCAGCCACCCAGTTCTGGTTTCCTTTCGGCGACTCCCGCGCCGTGCATATTTGCGCATGCGCCTCATTTGCCGTCGCTGTCTCTCAGAAGGCTTGGGGGGTGGGGGGTGGGGTGCAGGTGCTCCTTTGGCGCCCTGGCGATCGCCGCGTATGTGGTCGCGGCGTCCCAGGCACGTCCTCGGCCCTTGCACTACTTTGCTTCGCTTGCGTCCTCTTCCAGTGATGTTGATGACGATGTTGCTAGCGGTGGTGGCGACGGTGACGAAGTGGAGGAGGATGTGGATGGGACCGACGAGGAGGATTATCACATATGACGGATAGGAATGTGAGGTGGAGGAAAAGGAGGAGGAGGAGGATAAGAAGGAGGATGAGGAGGGAGGAGGAGGAGGAAGAAGAGGAGGCGGAAAAAGAGATCTGCTGGGGAAGGGGTGCAATCTTGAGAAACAGGGGCTGGCCGCTCAGAGGCTGGCGCGAAGGCGCTTAACTCGGGGCGGGCCGAGATCCTCAGACAGGAAAGTTCTGGGGCCTCCCGTTTTCATTGCGGCTCTTGCACCAACGGTGTAGAATTGCTGATTCATCCAACCCCTAAGCCTTACAGGGGGTGGTGAACGCATTCTCTTCAATTGTGAGCTTGGTCCGGGACCCGAGGTCATTTTTCCCCAGGATCGTCCCTGCGTAGGCGTAGGTAGGCGAGTCTTGCATTGCGGGACTCGTTCTTGTAGGACATGTAGGACTGTTAAAGGATGAGGAGGGGGAGCAGGGTATGGAGGAGGAGAAGGAGGAGGGGGAGGGGGATGGGGATATGGACGGGGGAGGGGGAGGGGGAGGACGAGGAGGAGGAGGACGAAGAGAAGGAGGAGGATCAATCATAATGACAAGCGTGCTAACAATGATCAGATGCAGGAATATATCACAAGTCATAACCAAACATCTAGTACTACCAAGTATGATAATAACAAACATATAGATCATATTAGTGCTATTATTAAACGGACAAAAAATAATACGATTCATAGCAACACGAATAGTAGTTGTACTGTGCATAAAGCGAACAATCATACACGTAGCACGAGAGGTACGACTAATCAGGCGACTCAGAGCAGACGGTACTAACACAATACGAGTACGCATCATACGACGAATATGAAGGGTACTAGTAACAAAAAGACGAATATTACTACTAGTAATAAACTAATTCTACTACGAATGATGCTGTGACTTGTAATTCTACGAGCGCGAAACCGTTCGTCATAATACGATGAATAGTGGTTAGCGTCATGAGAGCAATCATACTGAACATACGATTTGTAATGTTTGCCGTGGTACGAAGACGAATACTAATACTCATTGTAATCTTATTATGAATGAGGCTACTCATGCTAATTCTAATATTCATGCAAGTAATATTAATTTTCTTAATCTTACCAATCGTATCGCCGTGAGTAATACCAGCACCACTAATATGAGTAATGCTACGACTATCTGCGATACTAGGGCTACTACTAATCCTAATCGTGGTAACGACAAGAACAACATTCATAATCATAGTACGATTCGTACGATCACTAATGCTATTTCTACTAGTCTAGTCATACTAATAGTATTACACTTGCAATGTTAATTTCAGTTGTAACACTACTACCACCACTTCTAATAGTATGGGTCCCCAGAATAATACGATTATCATCACTCGTATTCATAGAGGTACATAGCAATAGCAGTGTATTTTTAGTAACCATCTTATTAACAATAACGCATCGTACACTTAATACTTAACGGCCGTACTAGCAAACTAATGATAGTTCTGGTGCTGGTGGAAATACAAGTGTTAATAGGGATAGTACGATTGGTAACATAAACGACACTCCTATTCAAGTTTGCTGTACTTATATGCGTACCTGTACTACTACTACTACTACTACTACTACTACTACTACTACTACTACTACTACTACTACTTACTACTACTACTACTACTACTACTACTACTACTACTACTACTACTACTACTACTACTACTACTACTACTACTACTACTACTACTACTACTACGACTACTACTACTACTACTACTACTACTACTACTACTACTACTACTACTACTACTACTACTACTGCTACTGCTACTACTACTACTACTACTCCTGCTGCTGCTGCTGCTGCTACTACTACTACTACTACTACTGCTACTGCTACTGCTACTGCTACTGCTACTGCTACTGCTACTGCTGCTGCTGCTGCTGCTGCTGTTGCTGCTGCTGCTGCTGCTGCTGCTGCTGCTGCTGCTGCTGCTGCTGCTACTGCAGCTACTCTGACCAATACTAGCATTTTTTTCGTAACCGCAGCAATTATCCACACTATTAATAGTTGTCCAGACAGGACAACTAATACATGGAGGAGGCGGCGGAGGCTGATGATGATGAGGAGGAGGAGGAGGATGCGGAGGCGGAGGCGGAGGAGGCGGAGGCGGAGGCGGAGGTGGCGGCGGCGGCGGAGGAGGACAAGAAGGAAAACCAGTGTAAACCCAAGAGCCATCCATGATGGCGGAAGTAACCTTCCCTCCAAGCACTCTCTTCATAAGCCCTTACAGCGGTTCACTTCCATCGGGGGAACTGCCTCTTTGGAAGACAATCGTTTGAAGACCTTGAAGCATGCCGAAACATTGTTCTCGGGCTTTCAACGCCACGGATCAACCTGACTGCTGCATCTTGGCAATCGGGAATCGCGCCCGAACGCCATTCCTTGAACGACAACAACGCTGATCAACATAACTGTTGCGCCCGCATAATCCTGAATCTTTCCAACACAAAATCATTGGTACGTTGGTCATCGGAGTCCGTGAAACTCTTCCAAATTGTTCCTAATCATCCTGTGGTGTTGGGTCCTCGTTTTGAATTTACGCTTCCCGCGTTCTCCTTTTCCTCCTCCTTCTCCCCCTCCCCCTCCTCCCTCCTTCTCCCTCCTCCCCCTCCTCCCTGCGTTTCACCCATCCAGGACAGCGTTTCGTGCCCCCATAGGGAGCCCCACCGAAGGGTCCCAGTGCTACCGTCCGCATGCGTCCCCTCCACCCAGGGCAGCGTTTCGTGGCCCCCTCCTCCTTCCTCCGTGCGTTTCACCCACCCAGCACACCAATTCGTGGCTCCACAGGGAACCCCAACGAAGGTCCCAACGCTGCCGTCCGCATGCGCCCCCCCACCCAGCATGGCGTTTCGTGGCCCCCTCTTCCCTCCTCCCTGCGTTTCACCCACCCAGTACAGCGTTCAGTGGCCCCATAGGAAACCCCACTGTTACCGTCCGCATGCGCCCCCCCACCCAGTACACCGTTTCGTGGCCCCCTCCTCCTTCTTCCGTGCGTTTCACCCACCCAGTATAGGGTTTCGTGGCCCCATAGGGAGCCCCACCGAAGGTCCAGTGCTACCGTCCGCATGCGTCCCGCGCACCCAGTACAGCGTTTCGTGGCCCCCTCCTCCCTCCCCCTTGCGTTTCACCTACCCAGTGCAGCGTTACGTGCCCCCATAGGGAGCCCCACCGACGGCCCCAGTGGGACCGTCCGGGTGCGACCCGAAAGCCCATTTGGCATTTTCACACAGTCAGTGCAGCGTTCCGTGGCCCCGTAGGGAACTACCGAGCCCCCCAGTGGGACCGTCCGCTCGCGTCCCGGATGCCAAATTAGGTATTTTCGCCCACCCCGTAAAGCGTTTCGTGGCCCCATAGGGAGCTCCGCCGAAGGCCCCAGTGCCACCGTCCGCATCCCCCCAACAAAAAATTCAATTTGGCATTTTCACCCACCCAGCGCACCGATTCGTGGCCTCATAGACCGTCCGCGTGCGTCCCGAAACCCAATTTGGCATTTCCGCCCACCCAGTGCAGCGCTTCGCGGCCCCATAGGGAGCTCCACCGAAGGCCCCAGTGCCACCGTCCGTATGCGTCCCGAAAACCACATTTTGCATTTGCCCCCAGCTAGTCCAGCGTTTCGTGGCCCCTAAGGAACTCCACCGAAGCACCCGGTGGGACCGCCCGCATGCGTCCCACACACAACACACACAACACACAACACATAACACACAACACACAACACACAACACACAGCACACAACACACAACACACAACGCACAACACACAATACACACCACACCACACAACAACACACAACACACAACACACAGCACACAACACACAGCACACAACACAACACCCAACACAACACACAACACACAACGCACAGCACACAACACACAACACATACCACACAACACACAACACACACACACACACCACACAACACAACACACAACACACAACACACAACACACAACACACAACACACAACACACAACACACAACACACAACACACAACACACAACACAACACACAACACACAACACACAACACACACCATAACACACAATACACAACACACAACACACAACACAACACACAACACACAACCCACAACACACAACACACAACACACAACACGCAACACGCAACACACAACACGCAACACGCAACACGCAACGCACAACACACAACACACAACACACAACACAAACCACAAAACACAACACACACAACACACACGCACGCACGCACACGCGCACACGCGCACACGCGCACGCGCGCACGCGCGCACGCGCGCACACGCACACGCGCACACGCGCACACGCGCACACGCGCACACGCGCACACGCGCACACGCGCACGCGCACACGCGCACACGCGCACACGCGCACACGCGCACACGCGCACACACTCGCGCACCCACACCCACACCCACACCCACACCCACACCCACACCCACACCCACACCCACACCCACACCCACGCCCACAACCCCAACCCCCACCCCCACCCCGACCACCATCCACCCACCCACCCACCCACGCACGCACGCACGCACGCACGCACGCACGAGTCTGGGCCCCCTCCTTGGGGACCCCTCTTCACTCTGAGACAACTCTCGGAGGTCCCGGGGCCCGGCGATGGCCCTCGGAGGCTAAACGCTGTCAACAAAAAAACCCGTAGGTGGACAGGCGCACGCTGGCGCTGATACGCTTTCTGGGGACCTTCGAAGGCCGGTCTCCAGGTCCGCCGCCGCCCCGCGCGCCGCAAGCTTGCAGCGCGCACGAAAGGGGTTCTGCTGGCCTGCCAATCAAGAGGGCGGGGGGTCTTTCAGAACGGGGGGGGCAGTCTGACAAAGGGCCCGGGGGGCTCCTAAGAAACCACCCGGTTCTTGAGAATTCCCACCGACCGATACACCTCCGTTCAAAACGGGGCGACGGACTTCTCCTGGGTCCAGGTCGGCCAGTTTTCCGCCCGAGCCCTGCCTGGCCGTGGCGACGAGGGCCTCCAGAAACGGCCAGGAGCTCGCAGAAACGCCCAGCACCTTCCGTGGACACCAGGAACAGCTGCGGCATGCTGCTCGCCCCGCGAGCCGCCAGGCCTCCTGGGTGGCGCTGCCCAGGCCCGCTGCGCCGGCGGCGCGTTGGGCCCGCGGCAGCAGCGTGCGGCTGGCCGCGAGGGGCGGCGACGAGGCCATGGGGGCGCCTCGCCCTCTCTTCAGATCGCCGCTCGATCGGTGCCTCCCTCTCCCTCCCTCTCCTCCGCAGCGCCTTCGGGCGTCTCTGCTCCACCCCCTCGCGCGCGCGGGCCTCCGCGCGCGGGCGCTCAGCCGACGCGAGAGCGGGGCCCCCCCGACGCCTCCGGGGGACTTTTTCCGAGAGGAGGAGGAGGAGGAGGAGGAGGAGGAGGAGGAGGAGGAGGAGGAGGAGGAGGGGAGGAGGAGGAGGAGGAGGAGGAGGAGGAGGAGGAGGAGGAGGAGGAGGAGGAGGAGGAGGGGAGGAGGAGGAGGAGGAGGAGGAGGAGGAGGAGGAGGAGGAGGAGGAGGAGGAGGGAGGAGGAGGAGGAGGAGGAGGAGGGAGGAGGAGGAGGAGGAGGAGGAGGATAGGAGGAGGAGGAGGAGGAGGAGGAGGAGGAGGAGGAGGAGGAGGAGGAGGAGGAGAGGGAGGAGGAGGAGGAGGAGGGAGATGAGGAGGAGGAGGATGGAGGAGGAGGAGGAGGAGGGAGGAGGAGGAGGAGGAGGAGGAGGAGGAGGAGGAGGAGGAGGAGGAGGAGGAGAGGCCACCTCACTATCCTCTATGTAAATTCTGAGCCAGGGTCTCAGCGCAGCTGGTGGCCCTGGTACCTCTGCTGTCTGATCTTGTAGAGCAGCAGGTGTCCCCAGTAGGATTTTTAGTAAGTGTCGCAGCTCTGCTTGCGGCACTCGTAGCGCAGCTTTCAGCTGGTTGGCAGTTCAGTCCGGCTTGTTGCCCAGGTAGTTCAGCAGGAGGCTCTCGTAGATCTGCTTGCGAACCGCGTAGTTCAGGTTGTGGCCCTCGTAGCTTCGCGGGCTGCCCTGGAAGCTAAGCTGGTGGTTCAGGAAGTTCTGCTCCAGGTTCTATCAGTTCAGCTGGTGGATCTGGCAGGTCTTCAGGAGTCTAGTCTTTCCACTTGTTGGCAGCTCAGCTCGTGACCCTCGCAGCTCAGGTTGCCCAGCTGGTTGCCCTCCTAGCTCAGGCTGAAGCCCTGCGCCCGCTGGTCGTCGTCGTAGCCCTCGAAGCTGTGTTTGTGGTCCTCGTAGTTGAGCTGGTGGCCCTCGTAGGTCTGTTGGAAGCTCTGGTAGCTCAGCAGGTGGCCGAGGTAGCTCTGCCAGTGGTTCCCGTAGGGCAGGTTGTGGTCCTTGTAGCCCGGCGTGTGATCCTTGTAATACAGCCTGTGGTCCTCGTAGCTCAGCAGGTGGCTCTTGTAGCTCAGCAGGTGGTCCTTGTTTCCCTGCGTGTGGTTCTTATAGTTCAGGCTGTGGACCTCGCAGTTCAGCCAGTGGCCCTTGTAGCTTTGCTGGTGGTTTTAGCAGGTCAGCTGGTGGCTGGTGTCTCTCGTGGCTCAGCTGGAGGTCCTCGTAGTTCATCTGGTGATCCTCGTAGAACTATTGGAAGCTCTGGTAGCTCAGCAGGTGGCCCAGGAAGCTCTGCAAGTGGCTCCCGTAGGGCAGGTTGTGGTCCCCGTAGCCCTGCTAGTGGCCCTCGTAGTTCAGCCTGTGGCCCTCGTAGTTAAGAGAGTTGCCTTGTAGCGCTGCTGGTGATTCTTGTAGGTCAGCAGGTGGCTGGTGCCTCTTATGGCTCAGCTGGAGGTCCTTGTAGTCATGCTTGTGGCCCTCGTAGCTGTGCTTGGGGTCCTGTTAGTTTAGCTGGTGGACCTTGTCGGTCTGTTGGAAGCTCTGGTAGCTCAGCAGGTGGCCCAGGAAGCTCTGCAAGTGGCTCCCGTAGGGCAGGTTGTGGTCCTCCTAGCTCTTCTTGTAGCCCTCGTAGTTCAGGTTTGTCCCTCACAGCTGGGCTGGTTGCCCTTGTTGCTTAGCAGGTGGCCCTGGTACCCTTCCTGGTGTCTCTCGTGGCTCAGCTGGAGGCTTTCGTAGTCGAGCTGGTGGCCCTCGTAGAACCGTTGGAAGCTCTGGTAGCTCAGCAGGTGGTCTGGGTAGCTCTGCAAGTGGCTCCCGTAGCTCAGGTTGTGGTCCTCGTAGCCTTGCTGGTGGCCCTCGTAGTTGAGCGAGTTGCCTTGTAGCTCAGCTGATTGCCTTTGTAGCTCTTCTGGTGATTCTTGTAGCTCGGCAGGTGGCCCTGGCACCTCTCCTGATGCCTCTCGTGGCCCAGCTGGAGGTCCTCGTAGTTCAGCTTGTGGTCCCCGAAGGTCGTCTGGTGGCCCTGATCGCTCTGCTGGTGGCTGTAGCAGCTCATACGGCACGCTCTCTTCGTAGGCCCCGAGGTCCGAATCGGAGTCGTCGGCTGCCAAGTCGTAGTGTTCCACGACCTAGCAGCCGGGGTAGTCGTGGGGATCGTAGGAGTACAGGTCTCTATCGAAAAAGCTGCCGTAGTCGTACTGGTAGTATGCGGCGCGTCCGTAGTCGTACTCGTCGTAGGCGGCGCGGCCGTTGTCCACCAGTACCTCCACGACGACGTACTTAGTAGCCCCTTCGGTCTGCTCGGTCGTGTCGTTCCTTGTGTTCGTTGTCGCACTTGGGCTGCCTGTTACGCAGCTCGTCCTCGGGCTGCATGTTACACAACCGTCCCGTCCTGTATTGGACGACATCCTGACGCCAGATATTGTGGAGGTGTGGTTGTAGCCTGTCGGATGAGGTAGCCCGTTCTCTTGAGAGTTACGTCTGTTCGTACTCCTGTACGCGTGTATGGTCTCGGCATACTTGCCGGTGAGTTTCCACCGAGGTGGATAGGTCTCGTAGCGGATGTAATAGATGTCTGGTTTGTCGTTCGACAATTGGTGGATGTTCACCCGCAGGTGGATGATCATCGTCTCTTGGATGTTCACCTTCTTGTGGTATGCGTACCGCCGATCGCGGCTGGCGCGCTGGGGCCGGCCCCTCCGAGGGCGCGCGCGCGGCTGGGCGCGGCGCCCAGGGGCGAGTGCGGGGGATAGAGTTCCCGCAAACGGCCTCGCCTCCCTCGCTCTTTCCCCTTCCCTCCCTCCCGGCCACCTGGAGGCAGTCGGAGTAGATGGTGTCGGGGTATCGCGTCGCATCGTCAATGCATCGGAGATGCGGCTCAATGTGGAGCCCGATTTTCTCCACGCCGACGTCGCCGATGCATCGCCGATGCGGCGCGATCCTTCGACCCCGTTTGGGTGGCCTCCATTCCGCCTCCTCCCCCTCCGCCTCCCTCGGGGATGAGAACTGTTACAGCTTCAACTCCCAGTGCTGGGCAGTGAAATGTAGAAGCTGTGGGTCACCACGCTTCGAGAGCGTGCCCTCCTCCTCCTCCTCCTCCTCCTCCTCCTCCTCCTCCTCCCTGTTCCTCCTCCCTCCCCTCGCCCCTGCATCTCCCTGCTACTCCCTGCTCCTCTCTCCCCTCCTCCTCCCCTCCCTCCTCTCCTCCTCCTCCTCCTGCTCCTCCTCCTCCTGCTCCTCCTCCTCCTCCTCCTCCTCCTCCTCCTCCTCCTCCTCCTCCTCCTCCTCCTCCTCCTCCTCCTCCTCCTCCTCCCCCACCACTTGTGGGCGCCAGGAAACTCAGAGGAAGCACCTCCTGCCTCCTCCCTTTCTCTGCTGCCCCGCTTCGAGGAAGACGCCCCCACTAAAACAGAAGCTTTCGGAGGTCCGCGCGCGCGGATTCCCTGGGTCGGCGCTGGCCCCGCCTGGCGGCGCCTCCGGTGCAGCTCCTGGCGAGCTCCGCGCGCCAGGGAGGGGGGTCCAGCACCGATCCAGGGAATTCGCGTTTTTTCTACCGCTTTCCACCCGTGCACTTCCCCTTTCGCGCGGGCTCTTCTTGTTCTCCTTTTTCCCTGCGACTGCCTTCTCTCGCCCTTTCACCTCGCTCCTGCAGCGGCCTCACTGCCCTCTCCCAGAAGCTGCCCTGCTTTTCGCCCTTGCACCGCTCGGTCTGAAGATTTCAACAGTCTTCGTGAGTTTCAAAAGCCGGGGTGCCGACGTGGCCACGGCTTTTTTCCCAACCATCCTAGTTATGATGTTGGGTCCTCGTTTGAAGAGACAGCGCCCCGCGTCACCTCACCCCCCTCCCTCCTCCCTCCTCCCATCATCTTCCATCTGCCCTCATGTCAACCTGTTCGGCACACCCCTCACACGTTTCGCGGGCCCATGGGGAGCTTCACCGAAGGCCCCAGTGGCTGTGACATGTAGTCGCCAACCCATATCGGCACACCCCTCACACGTTTCGCGGCCCTATAGGGAGCTCCATTGAAGGTCTTAGTGGCAAAATCCACATGAGGTTCCCCGGCCATTTCGGCACACCCCTCACACGTTTCGTGGCCCTATAGGGGGCCCCGGTGGCTGTGACCACATGCGTCCCCGCCACGAATTCCGGCACACCCTTCACACGTGTCGTGGCCCCATAGGGAGCTCCACCGAAGGTCCCAGTGGCACGGTCCACATGCGGTTCCCTGGCCATTTCGGCACACCCCTCACACGTTTCGCGGCCACATAAGGAGGTCCACCGAAGGCCCCAGTTACGAAGTCCACATGCGGTTCCCCGCCCATTTCGGCTCACATCTCACACGTCTCGCGGCCCCTTAGGGATCTCCACTGAAGGCCTCATGCGGTTCCCCGCCCATATCGGCACACCCCTCACACGTTTCGCGGCCCCATGAGGAGGTCCACCACAGGCCCCAGTGGTAAAGTTCGCTTGCAGTTCCCTGGCCATTTCGGCACACCCCTCAAACGTTTCGTGGCCCCACAGGGAGCTCCACCGAAGGTCCGAGTGGCAAAGTCCATTTGCGGTTTCGCACACCCATTTCCGCACACCCCTCACACGTCACGCGGCCCCATGGGAAGCTCCGCCGAAAGCGGTGCCTCACAACGCGGTATTCACAACTGCATATGGTTGAGTCTTTCGCTGGCATATTTTCCCCAACCAGCCTATTGTTGGGTGGAGGACAAGGAGGAGGAAAAGGAGGAGGAAAGGGAGGAGAAAAGGCAGAGGAAAGGGGGGAGGAACGGGAGAGGGAAAGGGAGGAGGAAAGGCAGGAGGAAAGGGAGGAGGAAAGGAGGAGGGAAGGGAGGAGGAACAGGAGGAGGAAAGGGAGGAGGAAAGGGAGGAGGAAAGGGAGGAGGAAAGGGAGGAGGAAAGGGAGGAGGAAAGGGAGGAGGAAAGGGAGGAGGAAAGGGAGGAGCAGAGGGAGGAGAAGAGGGAGGAGGAAAGGGAGGAGGAAGGGGAGGAGGAAAGGAAGGAGGAAAAGGAAGGAAAGGGAGGAGGAGGAGGAGGAAGCGGAGGAGGAGGAGGAGGAGGAGGAAGAGGAGGAGGTGTTGATTTGTTTTCCATGATGAAAGCGTTTGCTTTCCTTCTGTTCCCCAGGAGGGCGAGGAGACAGCACCGGCGCCAGCGCCAGCGCCGCCCGCGCCACCTCTGACTGAGGCACCCCCCTTTCCTTCGCCGCTGCATGTGGCATACGAGTCTCGCGTCGCGGGGGTTGGCTTTTCGGGGCGCCAGTGGAATGATCAACACCTTGGGATATGTTAGGCCGTGTGGAGAGAAGGAGTTTTTGTGGATGTCTGTTCCTGTGACCCGCTCAATCATATGTTCCTAACCGACAATTTTCTGGATGGTGTGGTGGGGGGGGGGCAAAGGCTATCTATGTTGTCTATAGGGCCAGGGCTGTCAGGCGTTAGGGGAACAGGTAGCCGTGGTCAAGATGCGGCATTGGATTACAATTGTTCGGTCTCTGTGTGTGCGCGCGCGTGTGTGTGTGTGTGTGTGTGTGTATGTAAATATATGTGTTTGGGTAGCACTAAACTGCTGCCAACGCTCCAACTCCTGGCATTGAACTACGCTCCGTGTGATGCTTGACCGCTGCACTTTGGCGTTGCAGTGCCTGATATTTTATCACCTGCACCTGTGTGCACGGCCGTGTCTGGACCCTTTCATCACGGCGCGTTCGATAAAGTTCGCCCGCGAATGGCCCTTCCATCTGCCGACCGCGGCTGCGATTCCTCTGCGCCGCCGACTTAAATGTGTGCGTGGTTGTGTGTGTGTGTGCTCGATTTTGTTCACTTTGGTTTTGCTGTGCTGTGTGCTACTGGGCCACCTTCCTCGTCGTGTCGTTTCGGCCGCCTGACCGCTCTGCGCACCCACATGTGTGCCTCTTCTGCATGCTTCATCCTGCATTCCTGCACCCTCGGTACCCGTGCCCGGGTATGCGCATGGCATGGTCGAGCTTTATTTGATCACTGCCTCATGTTCTGAGTGG